GTCAAATTAACCTTTGACGATGTCTGTGCCCAGACTGTATGTAAGGAGGGCGGACCATAAAGCAGCTCTTGGCTTGGCCCCAATCCTATATACCGTATTAAAAGAAACACCACAAATTCTCTAGAAACGATCAGCAGGAGTTGTGTTTAGAACCCCTGATATAGCTTCAAGTATAACATCCAGTGTTCAATCACCAAATATTTATTGAGCACATACTAGATGCCAAGCACTGCCTGAGGTAGCAAGGCACCCACTATGAGTACATCCTGAAGCCTCGCCTCAGTGTTTTGCAGTCAAATGGAAAGACAAATACATACTCAAGCAACCCCAAGGCTACGTAAGAAGAGCTAAAGCAGGGACACCAAATAATTGCAAAGCAGGCCCTGAGGTGGGGAAGGGCTCGGGCTAGGGAAGGATACTTCTAGAAAATGGTGCTTTGGTGCAGCCTTGCAAGATGAACAGAAAAATGACAGCACCAGGAGACCCCTATTCAAGGCAGTTTTGCTCTTGGGGAATTCTCAACTCAAAGAGCACTGAATTTTCCATCAAGTGAGCTGCTAATTTAATTTTTCCATGAACACATATACGTACACTTGCCGTTGGTCTTGTCAGACTGAGAGCAATTATTTTTTTGTTCTGTCTGCCCAAATCATGGATGCATTTATATCTAAATTCCAAAGGTGTATAGACAGCAAACGTACCTCAGTCCTGTGATTTCAAGCACTCTAGGGAAAGATCTAGGGTAGTAAGTGAATAACAGTTAACAATATTTTCCCATCTGATTGGCAGATCATATGGTGTTTGCTTTTTAGAATTAATTTAGCTTTCTAGTAAGGTTATCTTGCACACTTTCCAGGGTCCCCTGATATAAATAGACTAAGCAGTAAGGAGGAAATCAAAACAAGTGTGCATTTGTCTGGAACGTAGCGACCACTGTGTGGAGTGGAGGAAGGCAAATAAATATAAGAAAACAGTAAGGAATGGAAGGCTGTGGGACCCAGCTGGTCACTGCAATATCTTCACCATAATCACCCGGTTGGTCATAAAAGGCTAGAAATTCAGGTCGAGGGAATAAAAAGGGAAAACCTCCTCACTATTAATCAATAATGAAAAATGGGCCCGGTTCCAAAGTTGCCTAGAGCAAGTATTTGCCAATGGCAAGCTGGGAACCATGAGTGAATATTTATCAACCTAAATACCTTAGTTCTCTCTCTTTTTTGGCAGGGTCTGACAAAAATGCTCACAGTCTGACAATATTTACCCTCGTTTTTTTATTTTTATTTTTTAAATTTGAATTCACAATATGCCCTTCTTGATGTAGATTCTACTAAACCAAAGGGAAGTGAGGGTGAACAGGGTCCCCATCTGCCCATCTAAGTTTTAGCACTGGGAAACCTCAGGGCTAGACAGACCGAGAGGGCTGGGCACCCTAAGGGGAAATGAATTCCTAAATATAAGTAGCCATATTCCAACTAAAGGATTCAGGGGGCGGGAGGGGCTATTTGTCCATAGGGCAAAGTACTGATTCTGCCCAATCACTGATTTGGCTCTTTGTGTCTTCTTCTTTTACACATCACATGTGAGCCTGTGATGGGAAGGTGAAAAAGTAGAATTCCCTTCTTTTCCTACGTGAGGTGTCAGGATCAGTGCCTCTTTACCGTGGTCAATGCGGTCACCAGCAGGCAGACACATCTGACTAAGTGCTTGATAAATGGCAACCTCATTCTCCCATAGACAGTGAGATCGCTATTTCCAAGAGGCTTTAAGAAAGTTCCCTGAGTCTGGAGGGATGAGCATCACCTGGAACTTGTTAGACATGCAAAGCATCAGGCCTCACCCACAGCCAAGATGGGTTTTAAGAAGTCCTTCGGATGCTTGTGACGCGGTCTCAAGTTTGAGAACAACCGCTCTGGAGACTGATCTCAACAGATCAATTACGATGGGTGTACCCGTCACAGGCAAAAAGAATAACGAGCAAGTGTAGTATGTGTGTTTCAAGAATTTTTACTGCAATTAGAAAAAGAAACGCTAAATGGAATTTTCTTTTCCAACTCATTTAAACCCCCATGAGGTAGCCTGCTTTGCCGTTAGGTTGAACTCGGGTCCAGATTAACTGTTTTCTCCTTCCCCAATCACCAAAAAAAAAAAAAAAAAAAAAAAATCCAGGGGGACAACTATGACCTGAATTTGGGAAAGACAATAAAACAATTACCAATTTACTTGGAAAAGCTCCTTGCAAATATTGATCCATGGCCCAACCGTGCACGGGGGATGTAAATTAAGTCATCCTTCAGGATAAAAGCATTAATAGATTTCAGAAAGAGTGTGATCAGATGTCACCTTCTGTCTCCTCTTGTTCCCACACCCCGTCCTCACCACACCCACCCTTCCTTCCCCCTAGATACAGAAGTCTGGTCTTGGAAAGGGGCAGATGTCCCTCCAATGCGACCCAGCCTGATGAGGCACGCCTCCGGGAGGCCGGCTGGTCTTGACTCTCCAGGATATACCCCGTTCAGGGTTGCCCAGCAGCCTGACTTTCTGGCCTTTAGAAATGGTGATGGATTCATTTAGAATCAGGGGCTACCGAGCTAGGAGCTCAGGTGCTGCAGAAATGGCAGGTGGTTGGAGCTGACTTGACAGCAATTAAATGTACAAATCTTTGATTAGGCTCCCGGGAATGGAGTCATTAGCAACCCGGAACGGACCAGCTTGCTTTCGACCGCCTCATTAGCTGCTCTACCGATGTTACTTTAAAAAGACAAAGGGAGGGGGAAAGAAACCTCTCCGACACAGAATTAGGCAAGTTGAGTGACAGAGGCGGGGAGGGAGGGGAAGAAGCCAGTGTAAGCATTTCTAGCTGAACAAACAGGGCCCCTGCTTTTTGTGTGTGTGGCGTGGTGGCTGACATGAAAGTGCGTGTTTGGTGGACTGTGAAATAGCCCCACGCCTGCCTGATTAATCTGCCCAAAAGGTTTTTTTTTTTTTTTCCTTTAGTCTACTTTTTCAAAGTCCCCAGTTGATTCACTCCTTCTAGCCAAAGCCCCAGTGCAGCAGGAACCTTCCTCTGGGGTGCAGAGTCCAAATTGACCATATTTTGTGGAGTGCTCCTCTGGGACTCCGTACACCATCCCTCGCGGCAGGTCTGGGCTCCCCATCCACCCCTTGGGGGCCACAGAACCTCAGTGTCACCCCTTGTGTGGTCCTGGACCCTCGGTGATCCGGGTGGAGATCTACGTCGTGGGTAACTCCCAAATCATTAGAGAGCCGGAGTCTGGCTAAAACCATCCATGCAAGTTAAGTTATCTTCCCAACCAGGAGCTTTAAAACATAAGGGAAATGTTTTCACAACATTAATGTAAAATCCTGTGTGACCATTTATTTGATAGGAGCCTAATTCATTGTATAACTTATTATTTTTATATTGTTCTCCATCTGCCAGTCACTGGATTCATAGTTATGAAGCATGCTCCAGAAACATTTATTGATCACCTATATTATAAACTTCACATTAATTTCTCTGGGAAACCTATGGGTGAAAAGATATTCTATCTTTGACTTTGGGATCTATTAAGAAGAAACATCATAAACACCTTTTCCTATATATTCATTCATTCATTCATTCATTCATTCGACAAACTGTGTGCCTGTGTACTGTAATCATTGTTCTTGTCAATAAAAATACAAAGCACAATGAAGTGCAATAATTATAATTGCCCACTGTCTGATAGCATTTCACATGTTGAAACTCATTTAATCCTTACAGCAACTCTATGAGGTAGCTACCATTATTATTTTCATTTTAGAGATCAGAAAGCTAAAGCACAGAGAGCCTAAGTCGCTTGCCTAAAGTCACATCGCTAGCAATGCTAGAATTTAAACCCCGACAGTCTGGCAGCTTGCCCACTATGCTATGCTTCTTCAAGTTGCTTACAGCTTAAAAAAGAAGATAAAAATCAAAACCAACCGTCTCAACATAATGTGATAAGCACATCTGTGCAGAGCATGTAAAAAGTACATGGTAGGCAGAGAAGGGAATTAAGGGTGTAGGAAAGAATTCACATTGGAAATGATGTTTGATCTGGGTTTGAATTAAAAAGAAGCAAGCCAGATCTTTCAAGAAGTGAAAATCTGGGGCGCCTGGGTGGCTCAGTCGGTTAAGCGTCTGACTTCAACTCAGTTCATGGTCTCACAGTTCGTGGGTTCGAGCCCCGCATCAGGCTCTGTGCTGGCAGCTCAGAGCCTGGAGCCTGCTTCGGATTCTGTGTCTCCCTCTCTCTCTGCCCCTCCTCTCATGCTCTGTCTCTGTCTCTCAAAAATAAATAAACATTAAAAAAATTAAAAAAGAAAAAGAAGTTAAAATCTAATATGTTACTTTAGTAAATGTCTTTGACCCCATTGACGTAGTTGTTGAAACAAAGATATCACATATGTTGGGAACCTTGGAAAGGAAGAGATGACATTCAAATGTCTTAGCAAGAATGAATTTTGTAATTTTTTAAATGTTTATTTATTTTTGAGACAGAGACAGAACATGAGTGGGAGAGGGGCAGAGAGAGGGAGACACCGACGCAGGCTCCAGGCTCTGAGTTGTCAGCACAGAGCCCGACACAGAACTCGAGCTCACAAACCATGAGATCATGGCCTGAGTTGAAGTTGAAAGCTCAACTGACTGAGCCACCCAGGCGCCCTGGCAAGAATGATTATTTTAAGGAGACAGTGTTTACGTGAAGCTGTCAAGAAGTGGTTAAAGTTTAGGATGGAGCCTTGTGAAGAGCAGAAAAGTCAGGAGAAGAGGAAGGCAAGGATGAGATTGGAGGCAGAAGGAGAAAGAGAACAAAGAAATATGTTTCCAAGGAGGTAAAATGAGGAGATAGCGTTCGAAGACCAATTTGTCAAAGCATGAATGAGAAATTTTAATTCTAGAAATCTATGAAAGTTTTAGGAGGGAAGGGAGTGAAATAAAATGACTTAGAAATATCAAGGAAAGAAATGAACTACAATTAAATTAATATAATAAAAAGTATATTTTCAAGCTGAGAAATGTAAAGGGTTGTTCTTATTCAGAATAACAACCTATGACTAAGAGCCTTTGTGAGGCTCAAATATGTTAACCGGAGTGATTCCACTGTAAACCATTATGTGCCGTACAAGTGATCACTTCTGCTTTTAACAATATATTTCCATGGTCTTTAATTCAATTCTCTTCTGTCCGAAGTTAGGATGACACCCAAGTTATCTGCATCCTCTCCGTGGCTAATGAATGGGAGAGACCATGTCAGGAAATCTTTTATCTTATACCCGTTGAATATGAAGGTCCTTTCCAAATATCCACCAGAGGCTTCAGAATGCACATGTTCAGAGCATCTTGGCCTCCCAAGGAACTGGCCGTGACATGTCCAGAGTGGTGTGGGCTCTTTCTCTATCCACACTGCTGAGGGAATGATCTGGAACCAAGGAGAGGAAATCATTATTGCTCTCGTGCTCCCACCACCACCAAGAGCCAAAAGAAAGATGGCTCTGATTCAATTAAGGTAGTGCCACAACCTCATTCACTATGTCAACCAATTGACTTCTATTAGACCACAATCCGGCCTGTTTGTTTTTTTAATTTCTTTACCTCTCTTGCCATACTCTTATTTGGGAGGGGCAGATGGGAGGGATAGATGCGTTCATCTTCTACCACGTGTTCCAAATGTCTGTTTAGGTGACTCCCCTGTCTTTTCTTTTGTCATATCTATCTGGAGCTGGATGACCTCCCCTCAAGCAGGTGTGGGTAGACACCCCCCTCCCTTGCTAAAAGCAAGGACCGTGATATCCCTCAGGTGGCTGGGGAGCCTCTGGTCTCCATGGGAGACCATCCAATGGTTCTGGAGTTTCCAAAACTTGAAGCTGAGGCATAACACCAGGACAAGGACAAGGAGATATTTGAAGTTAAATATATTGTTTTTCATGATTGCGAATTGACAATTGCGAATTGCAATTGAACAAAATTGAAAACGGGATCTAATCTATCAAATGATAATGATTATAAGATATGCATAATTGCTTCTGAGGTCACTTTCATTGGGATAAACAAGAAGACAGAAGAACTACTATTAGCTTCCAGAGCCTGTTTTTAGGCTTGCTGCCTGCAACTACTCTCTCACCAGGAGCCCCCAGTGCCCTCGTACCCCTGGACTTTCATTGCGCCGAAGTGGCAAAACTCCAGCCTTGAGTCACTACCGCAACCTACATTTCTACTCCCGGACTCAGCTCATTAAAAGAAGGAGGAAAACAGGCAGCCAACAGTCCATATGGTACTGCTACAAAATCATGGCCTTCCTCAACTGAGCTTCAGGACAGAGGGTCCATCCGTTTCTTCTCCTTGCTCAGCATTTTTTTAGTAGTAATTCCACTTCTTTGCAACTCTCCAGAAAGGTTGATCATCCCCGTCATGCCCTGTACCCCTCACTTATAGTATATGGCCTTCACTTCTCCATCTTTTAAAAACCTGAGACTGTTAACGTGCAAACTTGAAGCTTGCCCCCCTCCCCCCACCAACACTTACACACACACACAATCACCTTGCCTAGGGTCTCATAAAAGATGGAAAAGATGGTACTTTTGTTTGTTTATTTTGTTCCTATTCCATTCTAGACCTACCTCATTCCTCTTGAGCTCTTGGTATCATGTCGGCCTATCTCCTTTTGGACTGTGATCCATCGAATATCTTGCTTTTCGCTTGCCTTCACAACTTCTTCTTCTCTATAAATTCTTTTCTATTAGAACAAACTCTCTTCAATATCTCCCACTAGAAGAGGGAAAAAATGAAGCATCCTCTAACTCTGTTTTCCCTTCCTTCCTCTAGCTACTTCTTTTTCTTCTTTTCTCAACAAAATATCTCGAAGAGTCAACGTTCTCTGTCTCTTCTTCCTCATCTCACATCCCTTCCTCCCCTTCTTGCCCTCTTATTTACCCATCAGTCAGCCCCTCTCTGTCCTGCTTTGGTGGGCTTCCAGGTGGTACTCAAGAGAATTGATCCCTCCCCTCTTCTTCTGGCTCTCTTCTTTCCTAATGTCCATCACACTGCCTTCTCCTGTTTCTCTGGCAACCACTCTGATCAGTCCCTTCTTGGCTTTATAGTCTGCTCTTCCAATCATGCTCCTTAAATAGTGGTGTTTCCCTGGATTTTGTCCTTGACCCTCTTCTTTTATCACCTTGCATTGTTTTCCTGGGCAATCTCATCCACTCTCACAGTTCTATAACCACTGGCTGGCTATGTGTAAATCTGTATTTCTAGCTGGGACCTTCCCATAAGCTTCCCCATCATGTAAACCATGGTCTACTGGACCTCTCCAAGGTTACCCACAGATTCCTCCCACTCAGCTCTTCTGAATGATCTTACCTTTGTTATTCCTACACAGGCTTCTTTTTTATGTTCTCCCTCCCAGTGGATGAATCACTATGCATCCAGTCTCCCAGATTGGAAGGTCTGAGAACATCCTCAGCTCTTTCTCCCTTTTCACCAACTCCTACCATGTTTATCACCTAAAGTTCTCAAATATGGTTCTTCCTTTGATTATCTACTGTGATGCCCCTGGATTAGGTAAGCGCTTATCATCTCTCATCTGAACTCCTGTAGTATCACCAACAGGACTTCCTGCCCCTGGTCTTATCTTCCTCAAATCAGTTCATGACAGACAGCCCTGAAGAATCTATCTAAATTGCAAACCTGCTCATGTTTTCCATGCTGAAAACCCTCTAAAAATTCCCATTGGCTTGTAGAATGAAAAACCAATAGTAAGACTTTTTTTTTTTTTTAATCAACACCTATGTCTCGGGCCTCATCGCTCACCATGTCTTGTGTTCCACTGCATTTCCAATAGCATTGAACCACTGGTGGTCGCCGTCATCACAATCGTTGTTGTGATTATTCAGCGAGTATTTACCAGGTACTAGACGCCATGCTGATCTCTTCGTATGTGGTGTATCGTGTATTCCTCACAATAACCCTATCTGGTAGATACTATCCTTTTTCTCATTTCTACATCAAGAAACTGAGTCAGAGACAGGATACTTAACTTACCAAAACTTGCAAATCTTTGCAGGGAACAGGGAGAATTTCTACCCAGGTACTTGGACTCTAGACCTCACTCTCTTAATTTATCGTATATTTCATGGCTTCGCTTTTCTTCTCCCTTCTGCCTGGAATGCCCTCTCCTTCCCATCCTTGCACCTGCTTGCCATCTTCTGCTTACCCTCAAAGACTTGGCTTAGGCCATAGCAGCTCCAGGGAACCTTCCCTGAACCTGGGGCGGGCATCTGAGGTACCCGAGGTTCCAGGGTATGTGCTTCCTCCCACACCGCCTTCAGGCATCCAGCAATCCCTGCACTTACACATTTTCCTGTAAGTACCTCTTAATCATGTGTCTCCCCCATCAAACTGTGTCATAGTCATCTTTACATCCTCAGCGCCCACCATGGTGCTTGACATATACAAGTCGCTCAGTACCTGTGGAAGGTGGAAGCCGTAAAAATAAAGTGACATATTCAAGTGGCAGAAAGATGATGACTAATCCATTTCAGAGATCTATGATTGGAAGGATTCTTCTCTGCGGCCAAGTGCACTGCTAAGTCCCGAACCATTCACGATCCTGCACCGTGACTATACCTTCCCTAACCGGCCTACACCTCTGTCCTGCAGGTAACTGTTGGAAGACCGAGTCAAAAGCCACGGAGAGAAATCACATGGCCAGTAGGAGGCTCGATATACTTGCATACTTTACAAAAAGTGCATAATTTTACACTACAGTACATTCCCCAGCCTTCATGCAGGCTCTTCACGTTGATGGCCCTCCACAGCTTTATATCCAGCCACCCACCCCTTAGGACTCCACCTGGCAACATTCACTCTGCCTCCGGCATTTGGACCTCTATATGCTTGCTCCTGCCTGCCTGCCTGCCTTCTCCACCTTTGCAATTCCTGCCAATGCTTCATAAGCAGCTCAGATGGCATTTTTTTGTCTACAGCCTTCTCCGTCCCCGCCCCTAGCCTGAAGTGACCTCCCAATGGTTATCGCTTACATAAACCATCCAGAAAGTAATCATACACCAGAATGAAGGCTATCCGGTCATGCAACATCCTTCTTCAGGGCGCGGACAGATCTCTGAATCAGTTGTCTATCATTCTGGCTTTCATATATTTGTGTCTTCTTTCCTCCAGGGAAAGTGTAAGCTCTTGGAGAGCAGAAACATCTTTTATACATTTGTCCCATGGTGCTAGATAGATAGGGGCTGATGGTCTCTCTTCTCTTTAAACCCCTGATTCTTCCCAATCTTTCCGTGACAATTGTATTCCTCTCATTCTGGACCCCAAGAGGGGACTTCTTTTAATTTCTCATTTACCCTAGATCTAGGCTGTCCCCAATCCACCTGTTCCTTCCTCAGTGATCTGACCGATGGACTTCTCTGGGTGCAGCCCTGCGGCCCTGGCCCAGCCCATCCGCTCGATCCCGTGCCGCACAGAGGATCAAAAAGGAACCTCCAAACCCCTCCTCCTCTTCCTTCTCCAGTTCTCCCAAATCACCTGTGCTATGCCGCGTGGCCACTGGTTAAGCAAATCCCCAAATCTCATGTTCTTGCGTACTTTTAATAGCACTGCAAGGGGAGGAGCTAACAAACAACACATTTACAGAATGCCTATGACTCTGAGATAATCGGAAAACTCCCAGAACAATGTGAGATATAAATAGTAGCTGCCTTTACTAAAGCCCTGCTGCAAATTTTTAATCTGGAGTCAAATCGCATGGAACAATTTTGTTCCATGCACCTTTGCAAGAGTGTGATGAAACAGGCTTATTTGTGGTTTAATTTTCCATTCAATATGCTGCTCTGTTTTACGAGCCACATAACTTTGTGAGGCAATTATGGCTAATGTACAGACTCAGGCAGGTGGCAGAAACCCGTGAGCCAGTTACAAAGGACTGTCACATGGGTGGGTCACTGGCGTGGAGGGCCAGGGGGTGTGCGACTCAGGTAAGAGGAAAGGGGAAAGGTCATGGATCAGGAGCTGGTGACTGAGACCATAGCCTTTGAAAATAGTCATTTGGAAATTCAGATTTGTGTGTGAAGTGGTCATTTTCTGGGCAAAGTTTCATATTATTTCATCAAGAAGAAAATCATAGGTATCACAGTAACTCCATTAGCTCTGCTACAGGTAACGGCCTTGTACAATGCTAAACTGTGGTAGAGTAAAATAATATTTTTACTGAGTGCTCACTGGGTGCCGGAGTGGGCTGTTTTCAGAGTTCTGTAATAGAACTCATTTAAGCCTCTCAACAATCCCCTGGTATGGTTACCTGATGAGGACCTGAGTCTGGAGGGTTTGAGTTTCCAGCCAAAGGTCACGTAAGTCCCAGGGCCAGGATGTGGACTGTGGCAGTCGGCGTGGCTTTCTCCTCTGGTGCCTGACTCCTTGTACAAGGCTTTCCAGGCTCTGCGTACTGTCCCGAGAGCTTTATGTATGCTCACCTGTAAGCCTTACAGCGACCCTAAGACACATGAACTTTTTTTGTTCCTAGGACACAGATGAGGAAAACTGAGGCCCAGATAGATTCTATGACCTGCCTGAGGCTACATGGCTGGAAACAGCTCAGATGGAAAGGCACGCCCTGTGGTCCTGAGGCCACACTCTCCGGTACTATGTTGTGGGACCCCACTCACCACTCACAAGTGGCAGAGGAAGGGCCACCGGGCTGAGCGGCTGGGAGAGAATGGGTCTAAGGCCTAAGGACAGAGCCTGCACATGGGGGTGGGGGGGGCGCAAGTTGGCTCTCTCCCCATCTTCGTGAGTGTGAGGCCTCCCGGGGCCCTTCCTCTGCTGCTGGGTGGGGGCAGGCCAGGCCGGCACCCTAGCATCCTGGGGCCAGGTTTCGTCTCCAACACTGTATGGGAGCTGAGCTACGATCACGTGGCTCCGAGAGATGTGATTTTGTTTGAACGGGACTCAGCAGAGCTGAGGTCCTGGAGTGTCCCCTGAGGCCCCCATCTGTGGCCAGCCACACCCATGCTAGCACGTCTCCAACGCTGCTAACATTGTGTGTGAACCCCGTTTTTATCTTGGCACCTCTGATCTGCTCCCTTAGTCAGGCTGCTTGCTCTCAGTTAATACAATGGAATTGATTTGGCAACTTCACAAATAAGGAGAGTCTCAGTTCTGTTTAAAACCTGGGGTGTAGAAGGTGCCTCGTTAGCACAGTAGGTAGCGCGTCAGTCTCATAAAACCTGGGGTGTAGTGAGGTGGAGGGTAGACCGGGGCTGTGGATGCCGTTTCCACAGACTGTCGTGGGAAGCTTAGCTAAAGACACAGTTGGGAAAAGAGTGAAAAATGTTTGGCCTGAAATCTCAAAGTCCTGGGCCCCTGTCCTTTCAGGGCAAATGTGGCAGAATTACCAAAGAATAATTCTAAATGGTTTGCATTTGAAAGAAGAAAAAAGAAGAGGTTAGCGTCGCGCTGTGATCAGAGGAACGATGGGGAACATGGTGTTTTCAGATTATGCTGTGCAACAGAAATTTAGTGGGGGAGAGAATTGAGGAAGTCAAGTTCAGGACCCGATGGGGGTCACCTAGGTCCCTATCCCAGTTCTGCTGCCACTAACCAGCATCCCTGGGGTGTTGGAGGAGAAATACACATCTCTGCCCTTAGCACCCACCTCTGCCAAAGAGGGACAGTAGTAACTCTGCCCTCCCCCAGGGGTGGCCGGGAGAATGACAGCCGTTATGATTCGTGAAGCGCAGAGCGTGTGGGCCGCAAAGTAAGCTCCCAGTTAGGATTAATGACTGTGGTTATCTGCGAAGGACGGAACTGGGGCCTGTCCTCAGGTGGGGAGTAGTAGAAAAGGAATTGCAGATAAACCCTGGAGGGGATACAAGGTGTTTTTTTTTTATATTTTTTAAATGTTTGTTTATTTTTGAGAGAGAGACAGACAGACAGAGCGTGAGCAGGGGAGGAGCAAAGAGAGAGGGAGACACAGAATCCAAAGCAGGCTCCAGGCTCTGAGCTGTCAGCACAGCTTGAACCCATGAGCTTTGAGATCATGACCTGAGCTGAAGTTGGACGCTTAACCGACTGAGCCACCCAGGCGCCTGGAGGAGATACAAGTTTTGCTGACTCCGGCCGATGCCTCTCCCTGTGCTTTTCATATTGCCTGGTTGGTCCCCTGAATTTCCCTGTTCACCTGCAGGAATAGTCTATGATTAGAAGTTTGTTACACTGTTCTTCACCTTTTATGGATGTTTGTTTCATAATAAAATGTCTTTAAAATATGAGGGTTTGGGGGTTATTCGTTGTTTGACATATATCATCCTCTTTCTAGAAGCTTTTTTTAAATTATTATTATTCATGTATGAAGGGTAACAAACTAGAAATGGAAGCAGGGAGCTGGGATCAAGAAGAAAGCAGAAACAGTTCACACTGCCTTATGGAAACTCTTTAGAGCAAGACAAGCCTGGATCCAAATCCCAGCCAGACCATCCACGGGTTTGGTGTCTCTGG